AAGACTAGTTTTATTCATATTGCTATGTCTGTACCTTCTTGGGCAACTGGGAAAAAGTCAGTTAAGATAGCACACCCCTGAAAATGTTTAAGATGACCTTGAATACAAATATGTTTGATATCTCTGAGTATCACTAGGTTATGAAAAATTACAGTTGAAACTTTTCAGTGTATTGTACAGGTTGAAAAAAGAGTACCCAGTACAGACAGGTGAAATGACAGTGTAACGGTTCTAATATTTTTAATTTTTTACAATGTTGGATCAAAAAAAGTTTCAAAAATGTTTCTTCCCCTTTACTCATTTTATTGTGTACAGCTTAATTTGCTATAAGAAGATAAAACTTCCTGTCCCTCAGTGTCCCAAGGTTCTGAAAGTCTTAAGATAAAAAATGATTGGAAAAAGAATAGTATTTGTAAAATTATTTTAGCTTGTAATTTTTTTGTGTTTATGCCAGTTCACAAAAGAGACTGGAAAACTGATTTTTTTATATTTGTTTACTGTTTTTCAACTTGCCTTATTGCTAAAGATTTTACATAGTCACCATAATGCTTTATGTAGCATCAGAAGCATGGTTATGTATTTTGTTCTTCCCTTCCTTTAGTTATCCAGTTATTGTTTGTATTCTTCATAAATATTGCTTCAAATAAAAATTGGTATATTCTATTAATAACCTGGAGTCAGCATGATATGAATAATTACTGATTTTGTAATTTTGTAATTAAGTAGTTACAAATTACTTAATTTGCTTAATCTGTTAGATTCTATAGGATAACTCATAAATTTGTATATGTTCCAAGAATTTTGACTACAAACGAGGAAAGGAAATGATACAGACAGCCTATTCCACTAACTGAAGGCAAAGACTCCTTCCTCTTCCTTTCCAAGCAGAGTGCAAAATTCTTATCATAAAACCCCTTTCCTTAGGAGAGAAAACTGGTGCGTGCTAGCTTCTGTTCACCTGATACTAAGAGAACTACTAATTCTGTTTTCCAGGGAAGGATGATGACCAAAATAACTCTTCACCAGTCCTTTGGCTTAATCAGTAAAAAGTTCACTTATTTCATGAGAAGTCCATTCATACTGGAACTTCCTGTCTTATCACAACTCATTTCCCTTCAGACTTTGAACACTTCAGAATAGCACTTCATTACAAAGCTTTCCCCAAGGCATTTAAGCTAGATTCAATAAAGTTGATTTTATTACAAGTAACTTCATTAGGCAGCAAGTCAGACAAAATAGAAAATAAATGAATAGGAAGAAAATCATTTTCTTAAACTGTATCCTGTCTCAAATACTTAAGCTGAAACTGTAGAATGATTTTGTGCATGCAGCACTATGGATTTATGACTGGGCTTCTGACCCCTAAATCATTGCTTTAAAGCAGAATACAGTTTTCATCCGATGTTGATTTCATGGCCCATGATTTAATGTAGTTGATAACGGGCTCACCAATCGAATTGTTCCCTGGGATACAAGTAGTGTGAGAAAAAAACCCTGAAGAAAATTGAGCCTTGCATCTGCTGGAGAGGACTGGCTAGGATAGCACTGTGGTGTTTTGGTATTTACTCAGCTGAATGGTTGATTTCGGTCTCTTGATCTTTAAACAATTCTGTTCAGTGATATCTACAATTAGCCTTTTTTTTTTTCTCACTAGCTCTACAATGAGTTTATCCTTGAACCTTGGACAAGTCATTCAACCTCTGTGGGCCTCAATATCCTCATGTATAAAATGAGAAGATGGTACTACATGATTTCCATTGTCTTTTTCCAAATTCGAAAAGTATGCAAAACAGTGTTTGACTGTAGCACATAAGATGGAGAAATAGTAACAAACCCTAAGCTCCATTTAAATTTGCTTTCAAAATTGACCTTGAGCTGTCATAAGATTATTCCTGTAATCTCTCCTGGCCACTCCACGTCTAGTCTCTTCTTTCTGTTCCTCTACTAGGCAAAGAAAACATAAAGTTGTACATGTAAACTTCTGCCATATACATTCTCAAAAGTTATTGGAAGGAAAAAAGGAATTCTCTTGAATTTTCTTTAGCACAGCTGCCTTATTTCCTTTCACGCCTGCCCTTTGAACTTGCCAGCCAGTAGAGATTTGTCATGTTCTTTTAGTGGAGAAGTTTATTTAAAATTTTCACTCAACTGGTCATACACTTGACTTTGAGCTTCCTGTATATATTATTCTGTGTCAATTAAACTACTCCTGCACCCAAATTCCATCTCTTGAATTCTTATTCTTATCTAAAATCTTGTAAAAGTTTTTCCCCTCCCAAGTTGTTTTTCTTTCACATTGTAAGTTTATGTACACACGTTTTAATGGTTTAGATAACTTGATCAAATGATTGATTACACCAGAGGAACCTGAGTGCTGAGCTAAGCTTTAATTTTCAACTTTCCTGCCTAGTGTGCTATTATTTTCATGTAGTGGTTTAAATATTTACTACAAATAAATTAATGGCTCTGTGACCTTCATGTGGTTAAAATAGCATATGTTGCACATTAACCAGATGTGGAGTAAGCCACTGACTAGCATAGTGTATATATTGTGAGCCATATGCCCACTTTGAATGAAGATTCTTTATAAACTAAAAAAAAAAAAAAGCCTATTCAAATTTTTATCTCAATAAGCTTTAGCTGCAAACCAAGTTTAATTGAAAAACCTTAAAAACTTGAGTAGGGAGGCCTGTATGAATAAACGTATCACTGATGTTTTAAGACTACAGATATTTTGTTTCAAGACATAACACTAGTGTTATGTCTCAGTTCCTTTAGCAGTGACTAGATTTGGTCCACATTCATTAATTCCTGTAGAAGTTACAAGCATGAAATGTCTGATAAACTTGAAATATCACCCAGTTACTTGAAATCAAGACCACTTTACATTTGGCCAGTTAAAATATGAAGGAGCTTTAAGAAATGATGAATATGTTTTTCAAATTGTTTTTCCTGTTCTTAGGCTTTGAGAATACACTGTCTGTGTTGACATAATAATCTTGTTGCTATAGTGTGGGCTGTAATTTCATGGTAGCACATAGTCCTTCTGTGAATCATCCCCAGAATAAACTCATTCCAGAAGATAGAAAAATATTCCATTTGATTAGAAGACTTATATATAAGTTTATCACTTATATAAAAACCAGGGGAAGGGGTGGTGTGTTTAAATACTGATATAGATCTAATTTATCATATGTTTATTTATCCAACTCTTTTTAATGTGTCGATTGAAAAAAATGCCCTGGCACTTTTACCCATGTAGTGCTATGAGCCATGTAGCCTAGCTGCCTTTTTCTTTTATGGTCATTAATTGTTTATAAATCATATTTTTAAAAAAATCTTCTATACATATCACATTTACAGTTCTGTCAAAGGCTCCCAAAATAAGGAGGTTTTTGTGTGTGTGTGTGGTTTTGTTTTTTTGTTTTTTAAGTAGATGGGAGAACAACTCATACAACATACAGCAGTCTCTGCTGAGATACAGATTCACTCCTGTCTTCAGACATCTCATAGGTTGGAGAACGCCTCTTCTAGACTATCTGACTTCTGTCATTTCTGTTTGTTCTTAAATGTCCTGAAGATTATTCCTAGAATAATCTTAACCTTTCAGTTAACCTTTCGAGTGCTTAACCTTTCGAGTCATTCTTTGTGCTTGATGAATGCTTTGGCTCCTACTGTTTCTAGTAAAAAGCTTTGTAAACAATTTTAAGGGATTCGGAGAAGCCCAGTTTAAGAACTCCAATCTTCAAATGTTTTTGGTGACTTCTCCCTTCATTAAAATTATTTGAGGGCTTCCCTGGTGGCACAGTGGTTGAGAGTCCACCTGCCGATGCAGGGGACACGGGTTCGTGCCCCTGTCGGGGAAGATCCCACATGCTGCGGAGCGGCTAGGCCCGTGAGCCATGGCCGCTGAGCCTGCGCGTCTGGAGCTTGCGCTCTGCAATGGGAGAGGCCACAACAGTGAGAGGCCCGCGTACCGCAAAAAAAAAAAAAAAAAATTATTTGAGCATGCATGCCTACATATACATACATATAGGTCACATTATATTATAAATGTATATATTATATGTATTGCATACATGCTCAAAATATATATATTCTTTTAAAATAATGTACATATACTACTCTACTTGAAAGTACTTTAGAGAACATTTATTGAGAATTTGTAAAAGAAGAGGAAAAACTAAAAAAAATATAAAGAAGCTCTAATATTCCTTCCTCACATCCCAGTGCCTTGTGTGGTATGCCATTTGAGGTACATATATTCCTCTTAGAGACCTCTGATCTGTTATGTATGCCAACTTTTTTTTTTTTTTTTTTTTTGCGGTACGCGGGCCTCTCACCGTTGTGGCCTCTCCCATTGCGGAGCACAGGCTCCGGACGCGCAGGCTCAGCAGCCATGGCTCACGGGCCCAGCCGCTCGGCGGCATGTGGGATCCTCCCGGACCAGGGCACGAACCCGTGTCCCCTGCATCGTCAGGCGGACTCTCAACCAGTGCGCCACCAGGGAAGCCCATGTATGCCAACTTTTGAATCTTTTTTTTTATAGTCAACAACTTTGGAATATTGAATTTAATCTTTATACTAAAGTCTCATTTCATTTGAAAATTTGTGGAAAAGAATTTTTCTCAAGAGATTATGTCACACCTTTGGTCTGCAGATAATGTTTAGGTTATTTATTGAATTCTTTTTATATTTCATGATCCATTTTAAAGCCACCTGGTAGATTTAAAGCAAGAATTCCTACAACCACAGAGCAGTCTAAAACCAGTGGTGAAATAGATGCTGCCCTCCCACCCCTACCCCAGTCCCTTTCAATTTCATCGTAAAGTCACTGCTCTGGGGTTTAACTCCAGAGAGAGGATTATCATGTTCTAACCCTGGTCAGTGTTGTAACTGGAAAGATATTTTGGTCTTTTTGCTTTTAATAATTTTTTCTTCACATTAAGAACGCTGCAGCTATTCTGGTGTGTCTTGTTTTCATTCCCTTTTCTCCAAAGGATGCTGATCTGTTGGATGTGGAGAGCAAACACTTTGAAGACCTGGAATTCCAGCAGCTTGAGCGTGAGAGCCGTCTAGATGAGGAAAAGGAGAACCTGACCCAGCAGCTCCTGCGTGAAGTGGCTGAATATCAACGGAACATTGTTACTAGAAAGGTACTTTTGCCAGGTGTTGTTCAATGTGAAAAGTCAAAATATACCCCTTGCTATGTGACAATAATGATTATTAACATAGCTGTAGCGTGTGTCCATCTGTCTGTCTATCTGTTATATCTGAATATCTTTGTGTGTTTAACCACGTGTCACATTTGGCAAATTATGGAGCCTGCCATTTACATGCCAAATGGTGCTCCCAACTAGATAAACCGAGACTTGTTATACTCATTGTTGCTTGATGCTGTAGATGCATTTATGAATATAAATGTGAAAACCAAGGTAGAGAAAATCAGAAATCTAGGTATTTGTTTTAAATTACTTGCTTTTGCAATCATAGTAACTGGATTTAGAATAATTCTACGAACAGTCTCTTTTAGAATTCCTCTGTTCCCATTGCCCAGTAGTTCTCAAAGATGGCTGATAGTTTACTACTGCTAGAAGCAGCCTCGTGGAATGCTATGCAGATGACCGCCTCCATCCAGCCCTGAGCACCCGGATGTCCAGTCCAGAATTCAACTCCTGTTCCAGAATTTAGAATCGCACCCCTGTGCTCTGTACTAAACTGATAAAGTTGAGGGAGAGGATGGAGAAGGTGACTTCTTAAGCTTTCGGTTTAAATAAGAAATTCCATTGTTTTTTCTCATGAGGCATCTCCCAAAATGATGCCAAAAATTCGTTTATATTCTAACACAAGATTTCCTGTTGACTTCCAGGTTCTTGAAATAGATTTTGAATCACTTGGCCTTAGGTAAAGAAAAGCCTTGAGCTTGTCAGTTCAAAGAAACTGCTCATCGTCTCTGGGTAATAATCACTGCCTACCTACCATCAATGAAATGTGGTCACTGTGCTTCAGGTTATAACACTTTTTCTCCCTTTCCCAGGACAGACTGGAAAACCCTTGAATGTCTAATGTACATCTCTATGGTCGTTTTTTTTTTTCCTCCAGGAAAAAATTTCTGCATTGAAAAAGCAAGCTAATCACATTGTCCAGCAGGCTCAGAGAGAACAAGATCATTTTGTGAAAGAAAAGAATAACTTAATAATGATGTTACAGAGAGTAAGTATTTCCTTTTCAGCACTGGTTGCAGTAAAACACAGGTTCCAACTCAGGGAAAGTTGCTTCCATCAAAGTAAGTACCTTTTAATAAAGAATAGTGAATTATAATTTGAGGAAGAATTTTCTATATACATTTTTATTTAATCCTCCACATTAATGAGCTGATGCTCTGAATGATTAACTAGAATACAGAAAACAAGCAAAGACATTTTATTCATGCTTTTTCCACAGTGTGAAAATCCAAACTATGAAAAATCTGTATGTTTTCTGATTTTCTTCTTTTAAAAAATATCATATTTTTCATCAGATAGGTAAAACATATTCTGCTCTTTTTTACTGCTCTCAAACATTTTGGCTCAGTTGATCTGGTGTTTTGAACTCCAATTATTTGCATGTGGATCTTCCTGGCAAAGGCCCAATAAAAATCCCAACAGATTTTTTTGTAGAAATTGACAAGTTGATGCTAAAATTTGCAGTTGATCTTCATTATTCATGCAGTCTGTATTTGTGAATCCATCTGCTCACTAAAGTTCATTGGTAACCCTAAAATTAGTACTTGTCATGCAGTCATTGATGGACAGGCACAGAGCAGTGAAAATTTTGAGTCACTCAATGGACGTGCATGTTCCCAGCTGAAAGCGAACAGGGCACTTCTCTGCCTTCTTGTTTTATTTCTCTTACTGTAAACAAGTGTCCGTTTTGTGGACCGTTTAGTGCCATGTTTTCACATTTTTGTGCTTTTTGGTGATTTTGCTGTTTCAAGTGGCTCACAAGGGCTGAAGTATTGTCTGGTGTTCCTAACGGCAGGAAGGCTGTGATGTGCCTTATGGTGAAAATACATGTGTTAGATAAACAGCTTTCAGGCATGAATTATGGTGCTGTTGGCTATGAATTTAATGTTAATGTATCAACATTGTACATTAAATGAGATGTCTTTAAAAAGAGACACACATAAAACAAAGTTATGCAGCAATCAGTTGATGAAAATATTGTGACCAGAAACCCAACGGTTCAGTATTCTCTAGTTCAGTGTTCATGGCAACATCATAGAACATAACTACTGCAGATAATGAGAATCGACTGTATATGAAAATGTAAAGGGCATAGAGTAGCTGAAACAACTTTGAATAAGAAGAACAAAGTTGGAGGATTTATACTATTTGACTTCAAGTTTTACTATAATGCCATAGTATTTAAGAGGGTGTGGTACTGGCATACAAATAGACATATAGATCAAAGGAACAGAACAGAGTCCAGAAATAGACCCACACATATACTGTCTATTGATTCTTGATAAAGGTTCTAAGACAATCCAGTAGGGAAAGGAAAGTCCAGCATGTGGTGCTGGATCAACTAGGTAAACATGGAAAAAAATGAATCTCAATACCATTCATCCTCACACCATGCATATAAATTAATTTGAGACAGATTATAGACCTAAACATAAAAATTAAGGTGAAAAAGTTTCTAGAAAATACAGGTGTGCAAGTACACCTTCATGGCCTTGGAGTAAGCAAAGATTTCTTAAAGAGGAAATGACAGAAGGCTTGTATCCAGAATACATTAAAAACTCCTACAAACGCAAAAATAGTAGATAAATAACCAATAAATAAATTTTTAGAAAACAGACAAAAGACTGGAATTGAAACACTTCACGAGAGAAGTTATGTGAAGAGTCAGTAAGTCCCATGAAAGAATACTCAGTCGTTAGTCATCAGGGAAATACAAGGTTGACTCAGTTTAATAGATTTTGTGTTCCTTCAGGAAAAGGAAAATCTTTGTAATTTGGAAAAGAAATACTCCAGCCTCTCTGGGGGCAAAGGGTTTCCTGTCAACCCCAATACTCTAAAAGAGGTAAGCTGTGATTTTTCTTGTCTACTCATATCGCCTTAGAACTCAGGAGATGTGCCTCAGTTTTATGCGATTAGCTGACTAGGAAAAACACTAACTGAAGTGACTTATGAAAGCACTCAATGCTTTGATGGTTTTCCTGCCTTTTGTTATTTGTGCTTTGAGAATTTCAGGGATCATCTTTGTGTCTAATGCAGATTCACTCTGTGTGTGTGTGTGTGTGTGGTGTGTGTGTATACTTTGCTTAACAGTGACATTGTGGGTTAACTTGAAGTTTCAAAAAATTTAGGATCCAGACCAAAGCTAGTCTTAAATTCTCTTCTTTCCTTCCTCCATTTTCCTTTCTCAGTTTCTCCTCTTTCCTACTTTCTTCTCTTTCTCCTGTCTTCTAGAACGTGAAAATGCCCCCAAACATCTCTATCTCCTTTTCCCCCCAATGTTGTCTATGCTATTTTTGCCCCTAAGTCGGAAAATCCTGTTTACATTAAGTTGTACACTCTCTTTATCCCAAACATCCATCTTTTCCCAGGTTCCACCGCCACCCTTTCCCAAATATCTTTTTACAGAGCTACGTTGCTATAATGGTTAAATATTTTAACTCTAATTTGGAAAATTAAAACGCTGACTGAGAAAGAAAATAGTTTTATTTTTTTTCAAAAAGCTAAAGAAAAAGCTTGCTTCTGCATAAAATTTTTCATAATAACAAAAAACCCTTTAAAAAGACAGCAGAGTTAGGAATTCCTACATCGAAAGTAGTGTGTGTGTGTGTGTGTGTGTGTGTGTGTGTGTGTGTGTAGGTGTGTGAGGTAAATGCTCATCACATAATAGGAGTGAATAATATGTCCCTCGGAAGCATTTTGTGAAATGTTTCCAAAAAACTTTTTTAGACCATTCAGTTTCGTAGTTTCTCTCCGTTATTTAGAACACAGATCCGGCAGATTCACTGCATAAAGAGTGGTTGTGAATGGAGTGTAGTGGAATAAGGTTGTCAGTGAGGTGGGCAGGGGCTGGGTCTCGTGAGTCATGTTAAAGAAATTTGGTTTATTTTAGTGGATGGGAAGCCACTGAGGGATTTTAAGCAGGGAAGTGACATTATTTGAGGTCCATTTGTTAAAGCTCACTCTGGGCTGCTCTACTGGATTATAAAGAGGAGATGCCGGGAAACCAGTATAGTGGTGATTGCAATAGTATAGGCTGGAGGTGCCGGTGGCTTGGATTTGAACAAATGAAGAGAGGTGGAGAAAATTAGCTGGATGCAGAAATACTTTGGAGACAGAGTTGACAGTTCTTGTTGATAGATTGGATGTGGGGATGAAGTAAATTAAGGGTATTGTCAGGAATGCTGCCGTTATTCCAGTTTGAATAATGAGGTTGATGGTGAGTAGCTGTTACTGAGATAGGGAAGACTGGGGAAAGAATAGATTTGAGAGGGAAATGCGGTTTGACTCTGGACATACTGAGTTTGAAGGGCTTGTGGCTTCCAAATGCATTAGATAAGCTCTAAGGTCACTTCACCTCTTAAAAGAATAAAATCTTTCCCTTTCTATTCAAGAGTTGTTCTTATTCTCTGCAGCCCTCCTGTTGTCAAAATCCAATTTGCCTTTTTGACTGTATTGGTGTGTCTGCAACTCTTTTGTTTGTTGAGTGGCTGTGTGTCCTCCTTCATGTCAAGCAGACTTGGCTCAGAAGATGTTTTGATTGTCTCCTTCCTTCCTTCCTTCCTTCCTTCCTGTCAAGCAGACTTGGCTCAGAAGATGTTTTGGTTTTCTCCTTTCTTCCTCCCTCCCTCCCTCCCTCCCTCCCTTCCTTCTTTCCTTCCTTCCTTCCTTCCTTCCTCTCCCTTTCTTTCTCTCTCTCCCTCTTTCCTTCTTTCTCTCTCTCTCTCTCACTCTCATTCTGTCTCTTTTTTTAAAGAGTGATGAATTTATATCCAACTCTTTTAAACAAGTCCCACTTTTGGAAAATGACGTACATTTTTGAAGCAATTAATTAGGATATATGGTTATGACTCATATAAAGAATCCAACCTTGGTTTTGAAAGATTCTACTATCAACTTAGCAAAAGAATAACTCAAAGTTGTTACTCTTCACTGTCATTCATTATCAAAGATAAAATAAATTTGACAACCTAGTTGTCAACTTCCATTCTTCAATTTAATCTTATAAAACTTTACATAGTATCTATTGCCCCTTTCTGAAGTGCAAGACTGAATTCAGCAGCATTTTGATACCTCCAATTTATAAACAGTCAACTCTGGCTTTCTCCATTTTGTCAGAATTATAAATTCTCAGTGAAAACCTTGCTTGCAGCCTGGAATTTTTGCTTCACCAACATAGCAATATCTTGCCTTTCCTGGAGCCACTGTTTGAAAGGATTGATGGGCAAACAGAAGAACCCAAGTGTTAAATTTAACTCAGTTTACTTTTAAAAGAGAGATATTGGGCTTCCCTGGTGGCGCAGTGGTTGAGAGTCCGCCAGCCGATGCAGGGGACACGGGTTTGTGCCCCAGTCCGGAAAGATCCCACATGCTGTGGAGCGGCTAGGCCTGTGAGCCATGGCCGCTGACCCTGAGCGTCCGGAGCCTGTGCTCCGCAACGGGAGAGGCCACAACAGTGAGAGGCCCGCGTACCGCAAAAAAAAAAAGAGAGAGATTAATTTATACCCTTTATTCTTTTTTTCATACTGTTTTATTGGTGTGGTGAAAATCATGGTCTGTACAATTACTTTCCATGGTAATTTACAAGTGCCTTTTCCTCAAATATAAATTCAGGAGTTTTGATTCTCATCAACTTTAATTCATGGGTATTTTCTCTAAACTGAAGCCAGAACTGAATCATTGAATTTAAAAGTAACTGGAAATTCTCTGCCCTAGGGGTAGAGTTGGGAGTTGGGCAAGCTTCCTTAAATTGAAACATCCTCAAGCTGCAACTTCATCTTAGGGATTTGTGTGTGTGTGTGTATGCACATGTGTATACACGTTTCTCTTGCTAAGGAAGGCTCACAAGAGAACAGTGTCCTTTTTATTTTCATTTTGTTGAGACACCTAGAAGCAAGATTCCATTATGAATAAATTACTGCTTTATAAACGTCTTAGTGCAAAAACCAGTAGCCTTTAGTCTACATTTATTCACTCTCTAATTTGTCAGGAAACAGAAGAAGAAGGGAAAATCTAAAAATAAAGATTTATGGAAAAGGCTCTTGAATTCGAGAGTGATTGCACTGTCGATTTTATGTCTCATATTTATTTTTGCTTGCGATGATTTTAAATGCTGTGTAGTGACAACCTATTCAGTCAACAGAATGAATGCCGATATGGATGGATATGTAAATCAAAGGTATTGGGTTATTTATAATAAAGCCATTTTGATTTTATCTGAAAATTTACTTTTAATGTTTGAAATATCATTTTTCAAGAGTGAGCACCATAAATCCATTTTAATAGTTGATGACTGCCTTAATGAAACATCTGATAATACCACAGATATCTGGCTGTGATGCTCTAAGCTAACTCCATTGTACTGGAGCATTAATACTCTCGCATGCCTCAGCTCTTGCTTTCCTTGTGTTTAACTTCTGAATTCCTCCTTTTAGGGCTATATCATTGTAAATGAAATTAATGAGCCATGTGGCAATTCCACGAATCTCTCCCCTTCCACTCAGTTCCCTGCTGACGCTGACGCTGTTGCCACTGGGCCTACCACAGCTGTGCTGGTGAGCCAGCCACAAAATAAAGAGGTGTGTTGGCATGCCATTTCATTCATTCACTGCTTTCCTCATGTCAAGAATTAACCCATGGTTAACTGAAAATAAGGGTGTGTGAGACAAATATTTGTTTGGTTGACCAGAGGACCAAGAGTGATGGTGAGATGAAAAAAACAGACTGATTTGGGGGTAGTGCTCTACCAATGATAATACTAGAAACCATGAAATCTATGGTACAGAGTATAGAGTACTAGGAGAAGTAAGTTCAGAAAAATGAACTATACATACATATAAATACACATACACACATATATATCTCTTAGCACTTTAGCCCAACCTACTTTTCTTACAAAGCAAAAAGCCTTTCTAAAATTGTTGGTTTGAATCACCTTTCCAGTTTGATTTTGTCTTCTCTTTTGTTTGCAGTATGGATTTCTTTTTAATATTAAGCTGCTTTAAAACATCTGGGGAGGTGTAAATAATAGTAAATTAAAATACCTCTTACGGATCCAAGTTGCTCACAGTGTGAGATCTTAACAAGAGGCTAAATTGAAAGATACTGCCCATCATTTATGCCTTCTTGATTAACATATAAGAAAACAAAACAATCAGATTATCGATTTCATTTCTTTGTCTTATTCTTTCATTTCATATGGACACATATATATTTTTTCTTTCTCCTCTAAAGCAAAGAGCACCTGTCTGTTCTGGATTTATGTTTCCTTCCACCCTTTCTCCTCATCCTATCACTCAACCTCCATCGGCCCCTTGGCCTGAAGTCGTGGCTACATCTGTCGATTCTTTTCCTTTAAATGACACACCACCTCCTCTACCAGCTAAGAAACACAGAAGGCAGCAGCAACAGGACCAGCAGGTAATTAGGAGCTGGTGTTTAGAGTTTCACCTTAACAACAAACTTAACTGATGTGAAATCTTTTCTTCAACTTTTCCAAAGGTATTTTTTCGTTTTGTTTTTCCTGATCCCTTTTTATTTATTTACTTTTTAAAAGATATTTTTGATGTGGACCATTTTTAAAGTCTTTATTGAATTCGTTACAATATTGCTTCTCTTTTATGTTTTGGTTTTTTGTCCGTGGGGCATGTGGGATCTTAGCTCCCCAACCAGGGATCGAACCTGCACCCCCTGCATTGGAAGGCGAAGTTAACCACTGGACCACCAGGGAAGTCCCCCTGGTCCCTTTTTAAAAACTCAAAACCTAACAAAGAGGTGGCAGGTGGGTTGCAGAATATGTGCTAGGGTCTTCCAAAGGTATTTTTTAAAAAGATAAGATACATACTCCTGTTTTTTTTAAGGACATTTATTATGGCCTAAGAGTGTGGGGATTGTTAGAAAGTTTGAGACCTTGATTGTCCTCTCCTGGCTTTTGATATGTTTGAGGTAGTTTCACATCCTCATGCTTCAGTTCCCATTCAACCAAAATATTGCAACTTACTTCAGGTATTTTTCAAAACCATAATAATTATTTCTATAAAATCCATGGTGTAAAAAGTTGCTGTGTCAACACAAAATATTTTCCTCACACAATATTGAAACCATAATAATAGACATCATTCCTCTGCTATGAGCCAAAATTTCCTCAACATTTTACAAATGTCTCATTTCTTCCTTCTAACAATCCCGTGAAATACGAACTATCTCCATATTGATATTTAGGGAACTGAGGCTCAGCATTGGTGAGTAGCTTGTCCAGTGTAACACCACAGGAAGTGCATTTGGTCCATAGAACAATAGTTTTTTATTGCACTTTTTAAAATAGATAATTTATTATTCCAAAAGTGTTGCCCTCCTTTTGATACATTCTATGCATACTCATGCTGGGGTATTCAGAAAATCTATTTTGAGAGTCCTTTCCACTATAATCAAATCCTTATGTGAATTTGGCCCTAGAAGATCCTAAGGAGTCAGTCAATAGACCCCCCCCCCCGGCAAAATAGGTGAGCTCTAGTTTCCTATGCCCAGCCCTTACCTTTCTTACAGCTACCTTTACTATCTATTACCTTTGGTTAAAGGACTGTATCTCCTCACTACTTTTAGGTTAATAAATACCTAGTATAAACAGATAATTGTAAAGTTAAATTGCAGATATTCTTCATGATTGGCGTGTTTGGAGATTGATAGTAAGTTTGATAACCCAAAGTTGCATTAATTTTTACATATTTCAAAAGCTTGAGTTCAGTATAAAAATGATCAAACCTAAAGAACCTCTAATTAGGAAATAAATTTACTATTGAAGACATTTTGGGGGAGGCCAAGAAAAATTAGGATAAGTTTCGAGTTGGCAAAAATTTTGCCTTAGGAATCTGAAAATAAAAATGAAATAGTCAACAGAAGGATTTTTAAATGTGAGGGATTGCTGTAGAGGCTCCTTGGCCAAGATCTTTTTTCAGTCTAGAAGGATGCCTTATATGGAAACATGTGGATTTGGAGTGTGTTTATGTGATTGAAATATGATTCTAACTTTAAACCCACTTCCCTGTTTATGCTTTCTCTTCATTTCTTCCTTCTCCCTTTTCTTATTCTCCTCACACTGGGATCCGTGCCATCACACAGAACTGTCCAGACAGACAAAGGGAGAAACTGCTTACTTGCTTTGTCCACTGGCTGTTCTGCCATCCACATGGCAACCATCATAATAACTTGTAAGTTGTCCTGAGGCCCCAAGGCAGCAGGCACTACTACAGAAATGACAGGTGGATTTTTCTGAATTTTTCTAGGTTCAGTAATAAATTCTTCCAGTGTACCTTACCAAATGCTAACCCAATTTTCTTAGTGAATACAAGTCTAAGTTGAGTAATTTTTTAAAATTCTGTGTTAAAATTCCAAAGCTTCTTTGTAAATGCATACCTCTTAATTATTTCAGTGACCTGTTTCAGTTAGTCAAGTTTTGCTATTCTGCTTTACATTTGCATTTAAAGCATTTTAGAAGTCTGGAAGAAAGGAAAAAACAGCACCAAGAAGGCCTCTATCTGAGTGACACTTTGCCTCGAAAGAAAACCACACCTTCCATATCCCCTCATTTCAGCAGTGCTACTATGGGGAGAAGCATCGCCCCAAAGGTAGGACACGGGGAGAACCACGGGCTTCACCTTCAGTGAGTCTTTTTGTCCTTATGTTGACTGACATGCAAAGGCCCCTAAAGAAAATGCTAAATAATATACCATTAAGTTTGCTTGTTGGGCAGACGTCATAACTAAATTGCATTTTCTATCCTATTCAGAGGATGTTTGGAATTATACGCTCTGGGACCGAAGCACCTGGTCCAGGGTATTTTCTACCACCACACAAGTGGTGAGTAGCCTTCACTTATGTGACACACTCCCGTAGCTGTATCCCAGATATGGAAATTGGAGGACATAAGCTCTGGATTCCAGGAATAATGGCAAAAAATATTTATCGAACCATTTCTTGGAGCCTGACACTGGGCTAAGCCTTTGACGTGGATTGTTTCTTTGTAAAACCCAACAACACTAGGTAGTAGAGGTACTAGTTAGTATCCCCATTGTATACATGGATAAAACTGAGGTGGAAAGAAGCTAGGTGACTGGTCCACCTGGTCACCTGAAGCTGGTCGGCCCTGAAGCTAGAAAGTGGATCCATGTGGTCTGATGCCTGAGTTGCCCTCACACCTGTTCTGCTGCCTTACCAAGGGGTCATGGCAGGAAGAGGGGAAGGGCAAGTGAGAAGGAGGTTTTGAGTGGGACAGACTTCGGAGTCCTTCCCTTGTCCTTAATCACTTTGTTTTCATCTATTTTATAAACTGGTGTTCCAAGGAATTTGCTATTTTGAAAGCGTGCTAAAACCACCGGGATAGTTAATATTACGTGTCTCCAGTTTTCAGCCCACTCGATCACTTGGAGCAGATGGAAATTGGTGCTCTTGTAACGTGTCTGGATCTCCTCTGTCCTTGTGCATGATGTGCATGCGTTCTTGTCCCTGCATCTGCTCCTCGCGCATGAAGGACTTTGAGTTGTTCTCCAAGGTGGTTTTGGACAGTGTTTTCCCTATCTGTCTTCACTTTTGGAACTGCTGCCACTGGAGGAATGGCTGTGATGTTGAGACTGCTGTGGAGCTCCTGGGGAGGGACAGCGACTGGGCTTTACCATTTAGCATCAACACACGGGGTGCAAAGACCTACCTTTGCTGCCTTCTGCGCTTAGATAGGAGCTAGGAATCAGCGATGTGACCATGTCCAGAAGGACCATTGGGCCTGCAGTTTGCCTGAGTTTTTCCTCCTGTTTCTCACAGGGCCACCTGCCCCTGGGACAGAGCAACAGCTGTGGCAGTGTGCTCCCCCACTCGCTGGCAACCATGACCAAAGACTCAGAATCTCGGAGGATGCTCAGAGGTAGGTACCTTTTAAGCCCAGTGTCATGTCCTTTGTCAAGAATTAGAATTCCTCAGGGAGGGGGAGACCAAACAGAGTTGGGGATCGTTAGGGAGGGGATCAACCTAAGTCCTCAACTTTACTCTTTTCATTTTTTTAAAATTTTATTGAAGTATAGTTGATTTACAATGTTGTGTTAATTTCTGCTGTACAGCAAAGTGATTCAGTCAACTTTACTCTTCATGTGTCCACTTAGGGGAGGGATATATATATGTATACTTCCTTATTGTTGTACTGAGATAAGTCTTCCTATATGCACATTTGGCTGGTACATAACCATTGTATTTTATAAATTCAGTAGACATCTCCAATCAGAAAGGCCCACAGAGAATACTAACCTTCCCATTTGATTGGGAGAAGGAAAAAAGAGACCCCTGAGATCCTGAGAGATTACCAAGGCACTTAACCAAGTCAGATCACTTGCCTGGTTTGTGGCTGAGCCGCCCTGTTGAACATGTGCTAAAGACTCATTGAGCTGACACAGAGCACTAGTGGCCCAGGACAGACTTCCCTTAGGCCTTTTAAAGTCGGTTGAGCTTTTTTTTTTTTTGGTGGTATGCAGGCCTCTCACTGTTGTGGCCTCTCCCGTTGCGAAGCACAGGCTCCGGACGCGCAGGCTCAGCGGCCATGGCTCATGGGCCCAGCCGCTCCGCAGCATGTGGGATCTTCCCGGACCGGGGCACGAACCCGCGTCCCCTGCATCAGCAGGCGGACTCTCAACCACTGTGCCACCAGGGAAGCCCGGGTTGAGGTTTTATTCTATGTGGTTGTTAGGTTTCAGGTAGACTTGGACTCTCAGCATGTTCTGTTTCTTTGTAATAATATGTTGCGTTTCTAATGGGGTTCTCAAGTAGTCTTTGTGGGGCTAGAAGAAAATACTGTAAGGCAGTTCCAGAGGTGAGCTTCTCGTGCAGATTAGATTTATTGTGTTAACACGGTAGTTTAGGTCAGCTTATATTGGCCCTAACTTTTGAGGAGGCATGGTGCTAGACAGCAAAAATACAAATAAATTACATGATCTTTGCCCTTGAAATGCCTAGAGTCTCATGAGGAAGAGAAAAACAAACAGATGCTTTCAATAAAATGTGGTAAATGCAGTGATGGATGTATGCCCGGGATGTGAATGGGGATGCTGACAGAGTGATGAGCGTCTGGCCTCTCAATGTGTTCATTAGTGGGATTGAAACCCTTCCCTCTAAGCCAGCTTAGAGGCAATTCTGACTGCTCGGCCTCTTTGCTAATGTCACCAGGGAATAATCACTAGTACCATTAGAAATATGTTTATATATTGGTGTATATATATGCATGTATACATAATGTGTATATGTGTGTGGATAAGTGAGCTATATATATATATCACTTGAATGAGGATTTCCTATCATTACCAGAGTGATTTAAGAGTTAATAGAAGCTATGGTGTTCCTAAAAGTGGTTTATAATATATGAGAGGTTTACAGTGTTAACCTTTGAATAAAATACATTTGAACTTCTCTTTTATTTTATCATAATTTCTTAATAAACTAAAAATATCTCTTATGGTATGTAAATAGTAAACATAAATGAGTATATTTTGGCTCTCATTAATCACTGTTCGTTTGTGGGTCAAGTCTGTTTTCTGTTGATGCATTTCTCTGTGATATTTATAGACTTCTTTTTAAATGGATTTTTCCCACTGGCTGAAGGCATCAAAGTTTGGACTGGCCACAGCACCCATGCTTTATGTTGAAAGTTTTTGCCTTAAGATAGAGAGCAAGAAAAACTAGTCCTTTATACCAAACAAACCTGTAAACAATACTGTGTAAGAGGATTCTTTTGAGAATATGGTGAAACTGGAGGGATGTTTGATCTCTATTTTTCTCATCTGTGTTCCCCCCAAATAATGGGAATCCCCATGTTAGGTCCATGAAGAAGAACTGAGCCAGTTCCCTTAGGTCACATTAGGTACCGTCTACAAAATCTATTGTCTTTGACCTGTCTTTTGTGCCCCTGTTCTTCATTGTTGGGTCTTTTGTACATCCCAGAAGTCTGCAGCCTGTCCTTCCCTGCTGCCGCTCTGAGTGGTGTTCCTCTTAAAGAGTTTCATGGGGTGATGATGAGACAGCTTCCAAGGAAATAGAGAAGCCTCATATGTGTGCTGATCCAAGAGGATGTGATGTATCTTGTGAGGCCAGCCTGCCACCCTTGGCTTCCCTGCCCAGAGGAGGAAGGGTCAGGGACTGCAGTTTTTAAAATTGGCAAGATTTTCTACTAAAATTGGACCATAAAATTGGCAAGATTTTCTACTAAGCCCATACAGGTGGCCCACAAGGACCAGGGAGGATGACTTATAATTTCATTTGGAATTGTGTTTCACTACTACTTGTTGGCTCCATTAAAATAGCAAACACCAAGTAAAAGTCCATGGTTTTGAAAAAATCAGACCTCGCACATTTTTCATTAACTCAAATTAAATAGGTCTTATCATTTTTATGACTTACACAAATTAACTTAAATGAACTATTTTTTTGCTGCTTATTCGTAATGGATACATCAAGGACGATGGTGTAAGTATGAGCCTTCCTTCAATAAGCACTTTGTTAGTAGACCTGACAGCGTGAATCATGCAAACAAAGATCTCTGAGAGCAGAGTTTAAAGCAAAGAGTCCAGGGACTCAGATCCTAAAGTTGTAATGGTTATTGGCTTTTGTACAACTTGTGAACTATTCCTTTGTAAGCTTTAGAATGAATGAAATCTTTGTCCTTTTATCTTCTGTTCAATGCAGGAAAGTCCAAGAAAGGTACGACAACCTCCCTGTGTGGTGTTTTTGTTTCCAGCAAATAATGAAAGGTCATTGTCATCTTTAAGAAGTGATCAGATTTAAAACTGTACAATGGTGGACTTTTAGTCTAATGATTATTCCTTTTTACACATCAGAGGAAAATTGTTGCACATTTGCTAGAAGCACAATGCTGCGTGCAGCTGCTGTTCGTTGACCGGCAGCTGCATGACCCTCTTTGTTTTGATTTTTTTATTGCAAGGTCAGACCATGCAGGAAACACGAGTGCTTCGGAAGCACCGTTTCGTAAGACTCAGGATCTAGATAAAGAAAAGAGTGGGCCTTGTGATGTGTGTAGGCTAAGTGTAAAATATGATGTTTCCCCTTTATAAAGGCCAGGTATAAATAAGGCAGGCGGCAGGCTATGTGAGAAGATGGAAGGATTTAGGAGGCTCCTACCTATTCATTCCATTTAAGCCTTGAGACTTAGTAAAGAGTGAAGAACAGCCTAAATTGCTGGCTAGAATAAATGATTCTTATGTGGCTGGGAGACAGAAATGTAGGGCATTAAAAGACTGACTTGTTATAAAGTTTGATGGGCTGTGCTTCAAATCATTGAATGGCATTTTACGAACCTTAAGTCTTAAAAACTATTTGTTAATGTCTTCTTGGAAAAAAGAATTGTTTTATAGATATAATCTTGTTTTATTCTCCCTATTTTCTAGTTGAACATGTGTGAAAAATTCTTTTCTCCTGTAACAAATCATTTTTGACTGTGTGCATGTATCAGAAGCTTGTTTTTGTTTTGTTAACTTCTTGAGTTCGTCTCTATAAACTCAAATTTAATCTAAAAATGTGAATATCTTACCTTGTCAAGCTGGTATTGTTACTAACACGGTCAATTACTGCATGTTGGAAGACATTTATTTTCCCTGGCCCTTTGTCATCCTTTTTGATCTTGTATCTTTTTCCCTTTCTCTGTCATTCTCCTCCTCATTCCTGACTTGTCCTGCACCTTCGTCTTCTGGCTGTGGACTATGGTTAGGAAGAATGAATGTCTCAGCAGGTGAGAAATTGTCAGAAATACTGATTAATTTTATCCTCTTAAACCGAGGTTATAATTTTAAGTCATCTCATTTTCTGTATTAAGGCCCAGATAACCATTTTAAGGTATATAACACACATTTGGAAAATATTGGCAAGAGTATATATCCCACAATGGTTAACTCACAAAGCACTTTTCAGGTACAATTAGCCAGAATTCATAGAGATTGACATTAAAAATAACGATAACAATAATAATAATAAATGGGCCTTGAACGTCCAACCTATTGGCTCTTCCGGGGCAGTGAAGAGACTTGAGTTGATTAGGATTCCAGGTATGTGCTATGCTTAGTGACCAGCCTCAGATATTATCAGGTCTTACTTTATAAACTTTATAAAATACCCTATTCAAACAGCCATTTCTATCTGGACAGGAAGGATTTAGAGCATTTACAAGGCCCTTTTTACTTTTCAGATGCTGTCCCACCGCTGAATATTATTCTTGCTACATAATTTAAAACCAAGCAGTCTCAGGGATTTGGGGAAGTCTCATTTTTTCCAGTCCACTTACTTTGCCCCACCCGAAACAGTAGATGCATTCCACTTCCTTATTTAGTCACTAATATATTGGGTTGGCCAAAAAGTTCATTTGGGTTTTTCAGTAACATCTTATGGAAAAACCTGAACAAACTTTTTTTTGGAATTTCTTGAACAAGTGCATTCAGTCAGTGACTCTTTATTTTGTGACATCTGAATGCTAAACAAATGGGGATTCTGTGGTGAACAGGACATATATGACCCCCTCCCTGATAACTTATACTTGAGCAGTGGCTTAATCCAGCTCACACCTGTTCTGGTGCTGCTTCATGCACAGCAGTTCTTCTTGGGCCTCCTACCAGGAACGCTCCTTCCGTCTCCTGTGCTTCTATGGTGTCCTTCTGTTGAAAGTATCTGTACCTTTAAATGGCCAGGCCAGAGCCTGGATCCTAAAACCAGCTCTTAGGAATCACGCTGGTGCAATTCTGGGGTCACGAGGGAGAGGTCCATGCCCTCGATTGTAATTGCAGGGGTAACTTGATTTTTTGGAATTGTTCAGGAGGGAGGAGGCTAAGCCAGGTGACAGCTGAGTTCCCTGAGATCAGTAAAATATTGCCGGTTGCGGGGATAGAAGGGACTGCATAAGATGGGCATTCCCACTCACACTGGATCCACAGGAGACTAAAATCTTGCCTTGGAAGCTACTTGTTAGAAGCAGCCTTTATCGTTTAAGTTGCCATGAAAATGCAAGGTGCTTATCCTACCACCAGAGTGATGCAAGGTTTTCTCAGACGTCGAGCAAAGAAATAAAATAAAAATAAAACACGTAGTGAGGTGATCTAGGGAATTTACATTCACAGTCCTTAGCACAGCACACATTGTAACACGGCTCTCCCTTATGGCCGCATCTGAAAACTTGGAGCCAGTTTAGTTTACTGTCTGCCTCACCTGAAGGTGGTAAGTTCATTTTCTTATTCTGTGGTACTTTTGGGGGAAAAAAAAAATCATGGAACATCTGAGAAGCAGGGCATACAGTTGCTTTAAGAAGAAATACGTTCCCCCTCTTTTCTGCTTTTCCAAAAAAGTGTTAATTGCATTGTAGGAACTGGCTTTTCCTCATAGCGAAAAACTGAAGGGAAGGGAGGTTGTGGCACCTGTCATCACCAAGGAGATAAGTCTTATATGTTTGAAATGACAGGGCTGTCTTTTAGGGATGTTTTGTTCATACTAAAACAAGGAAATGTCTTCCATGTCATTGGTGCCAGTGTGAAGGTTTCCTTGCCAACGAACCTTTTTTGAAAGTTTAAGGAAAGATATGCGTGTGAGCTTTTCAAATAATTTCTGGTGTTTTTTTTTTTTTTTATCGTCCCCCTTTTTTTTCATAATGAATAATTGGAAACGATTTAACAGGAGCAGTTAGTAATTCCAAAAGTTCAAGTATCAAAGGTAAATATTTGAGTAATGAATTATTTTGCCATTCTTAAGACAAAAAAAAAAGGCACAAGCTCCACGCTTATGAACGCACTGGCTTTGTGTAATGCTTTTATGCATTAATCATTACAATTAATAATATTCTCTCTAAAGTCTCATGGTGTGCTATTATGTTTTGCACCTTTCCTTAGCAAAGTGATGTGTACATACGTGTATATTTATAACTTATAATTACATCTTATATCAAGGAAGCTTATTTTCCCAGAAATGCCTTAACCTGAACTAACATATTTTCACTTAGACATCTAAAACTGCTCTAAATACTAATGGCATGCAAACTCCTCATGGAACTCTAATCATTTTACAGATTTAGTTTTGGTGTATAATGCTTTGTTAAAGCATCATGGATGTGGCTTCCTTTTTAAATGGAAATATTTAATTAACAGCTGAGGAAGCTGTTTGGAATTACTTGCCTTCTTTTGCCCTCTGGCCTGCTTTTTGCCATTCCATTACTAATTAAAAGCCTCATAGAAAGGTAGGTAAAGTACAAGAAAACAGGGAAAATCCAGATGGTCCAACTGTAAACTCTTCATAGGTCTGGTAAGTAAATTTGATCAGGGAGAAAGTGACTGCAAACTATGGTACTGGTTAAAGAAACATCTTTTTAATGAATTAAGGGATTTGTTTATCACTATGACCCCTGATTCCCGAATACATGCTAAATAGAGAATTGAAAGGAAGAATAAGTCGATTTGTGATGCCCAAAATCAACTACCAGAAGAAAGCCATAGAGTAACACAAAGTCAAGCCAGTGGCCTAATGTGCCAGCTGACCAGGTACCAGGGTAAGGAAAACCCCTCCTGTTGATGGGATCCCTATGTTTTCATACGGTTGATATCACCAACTAGCTGAAGGCTGACTTGAGGCAGAAAAAGAAGAGAGCTGTATATACACTAATTAGGAGGAGTACAGCTATTGGAAGGATTGTTGATTCTGAGTATTTTAAATAAGTAATTGGCAGACAAGGGAATTTGAAAAAAAAGGATGAGGAAAATGTCAGTTTGAACATTAACCAGATTAAAAGTGTGAGTGATATGAGTGAGACACAGATTTCTCAAATCCTACACCTAGATGATCCACCTATTTTATGACCAGATCCAGTACCCTTTAAATTGCAATACCACTGAAGAAGTGACTGCCCGTAAACCCTGGTGTTGCTTGTCACTAGAGTCGTCTTGCTTCACTTAAACCCAGCTATTATCAGAGGATTCACAGCCTTTAAATGTGTTTCTGTTTTGGTTTTGTGTGTGTGTGTGTGTGTGTGCTGATGTGTGCTTCTCGGTTGTGCTGAGATGTAGAAATGGTATAGGAAAGTGTCAAGTGATCTGCTGACAGAAAAGATCATTCCCAAGACCACTTCTTTGAAACTCTTCCTTGCACTGAGCATTATGCCATTTCTTTGATCTTCTTGGCTTCAAAACAAATTAGACCAAGGCCCCAGTTTCATAGGCAGATGTTTTGGGTTCCTGGTTTAAGCCTTAGAAGATCTAAGACTGAAAAAAATGAGGCATACTAACGTATTTATGGCTCTCTCCTTAGGATATAATCACCAACAGATGAGTGAAGGTCAAAGGCAGAAGTCTTCTGAATTTTACAGCCGCACAGCATCTGAATCAAATGTCTACTTGAACAGTTTCCACTACCCAGATCACAGCTACAAGGACCAGGCCTTTGATACTCTGAGCCTAGACAGCTCTGACAGCATGGAGACAAGCATCTCTGCCTGCTCACCTGACAATATCTCTAGGTAAGACGTATTCCTGGGGAAGGTTTCTGGTTTGGAAAAGCACCTGTCGGTTTCAAAAAGTAAAGCCATCAATTTGGGGCCATGTATATGTACAAGCCCAAATTTCTGAAACATAAAGACTCTACAGTAGAGAAGAGGGTTGGGTGTCATGGTGGTCTTTGAAAGTAGTTTCTTTGTATCCTGTGTGACTGAGCCAGTCACACACCATCTAATCCATTTTCTCCTTTACTCTATGCTTTACATTTGACTTCACGCATATACTGTGCTTCAAAATGGATTTGCCTCTGTTGGTTGACTCCACCTTCATTAGGACTACTTTTGATTCAGTAAAGAAGTAATTTCCAGCAACAGAGTAAGAATTTGAAGGATATCTTACCCTTATGTTTTGTTGAAAGAAAGACATTAGCTGTTCTGCATATTAAAATTTTGTAAGGATTTAACCATTCACATTCGTGTTCATACTTTGAGGCAAGCAAAGGTGTTCTTAGGGGATTATGGCCAAAGGTGCATCTAAAATATGGATCTAGTCAGAGCGCTCCTTCAAAAGCTTGTGATGGGGACTTCCCTGGTGGCACACTGGTTAAGAATCCGCCTGCCAATGCCGGGGACACGGGTTTGAGCCCTGGTCCAGGAAGATGCCACATGCTGCGGAGCAGCTAAGCCTGTGCGCCACAATCACTGAAGCCTACGCGCCTAGAGCCCATGTTCTGCAACAAGAGAAGCCACCACAGTGAGAAACCCGTGCACCACAATGAAGAGTAGCCCCCGCTCGCCACAGGTAGAGAAAGCCCACGCATAGCAACGAAGACCCAACGCAGCCAAATATTAATTAATTAATTGAAAAAAAAAAGCTTGTGATGATGCCCTACTACCTTTTTTTTTTTTTTAATTTGTAGTACGCGGGCCTCTCACTGTTGTGGCCTCTCCCATTGCGGAACACAGGCTCCAGACGCGCAGGCTCAGCGGCCATGGCTCACGGGCCCAGCCGCTCCGCGGCATGTGGGACCTTCCCGGACCGGGGCACGAACCCGTGTCCCCTGCATCGGCTGGCGGACTCTCAACCACTGCGCCACCAGGGAAGCCCTGCCCTACTACCTGTTGAATAAAGTCAGACCCCAGAGCCTGGCATTCTAGATCCAGCCCAACTCCCCATTCATTCTCTCCTCCTGATACACCTCCCAGAGCTTCTTATTCATTGAGAGGGCGAAGAATTCTCAGATCTCTGTGCCTTTGACCATATTGGTTCTAGCTTTGGGCTCATGTAATCTGTTCTTTCTTTTATTTATATGCTCATTCATTCCACAAATCCTTATAGAATATTCTACAGTTAACAGTGAGCTGGAGTCAGCTCAAACTGGCTGGCAAGAGCCAGAGGTGCACATCTCCTCCTAACTCTGTGATCAGTGATGTCATGTTGGTAGCTTGAAATTGGCCACGGTGGGAGTGTTTACTCCACATAAATAGACATTTGCTGCATATCAGGGGTTTTGTTTTTCTCCAGAGAGCTAGTTTACCAGCACACCACTATCTAGAGTCAATTCATCCTCTCATTTGTTTATTCCCTCAACCTGTACTTACTGAGCATTGAGAGTGTCTGGCATTGCAAAATGTCTTTACCTTCCCCCAACCCCTCCCATTTTAGCCTGGAGAAAGTCTTCTCTTCCTTTAAGCTGAAACTTAAGTTGGAAACTCATGAGAATTTCTCCTTTCAGGGCATTTTTCTTTCATGTTTCCATGGAACTTGATACTTTTTTCTATTATATCACTGATCACATTGCAGCATACAGATTTTTTCTTCAATAATTAATTGGTACATTCCTCAGTGTCAAGGAGGATGTCTAATTATCTTTTGGTTTCCACATTCAGCAGAGATCTGGGCACATAGTAGGCATTCAGTAAGTGTCGGCTGAATAAATACCTCGGGATATTTGATTTTTTTTCTTTGTTTGATCTATTTCAATTGGCTGAGAACCATTATGAGTTCAACCCCCCAAGCATCCAATATTTAATCAATGTTCATTGAGCAATTGTGTGTCTCAAGTGAAAATGTCTAGTTGAATAATGGCCATCAAAAAAACTTTGCTCTATTGCAATGAAGTCACAGGCTGGGACAGGAGCTTTGGGGGCTCGACCTGACAACTGTTGTGCTATTGCAAGCAGATCACAGAACTCTCTCGGTCCTGATTTGCTCATCTGCTAAGTGGAGGATTGTTTCTTGAATGCAAGAGGATGATGGATTTTAAAATATTTGGGTGGAAAATTACCATCGTGTATATAGCATTTCTTTCTTTACAAAGGTTTGAATCATTTGCTCCTCACCCCCGCCCCCCAAAAAAGGAGTGACAGAGACAGAGGGAAAGTATCAGCAAGGTATACTTAGCTTTGGGTTAGTGTCTCATAAATGAAAAGAATATGAGAAACCTCAATCTAACCAGATATAGCCGGGAAATCTGGGGAGTGGAAGAAAAGAAGAAAAGGAGAGAGGCTACAGTTTGTGGTAAATAAAATATAGTGTATTTTAATTCTGGCATCATAATGTTTGAAATATTGATATTACTGGATATATCCTGTCAGAGAAGGAAAGGAGTCCCTTGGGAAAAACACTAAAGCAACCGTGAGAATTATAGATATTTCTCCGTGTTACAACGGAAAACTTAATTTAATTTAAATTTAAGTAGGGAGTTATATAATAATAAAGAATAAAGCTGATTTTTTGCTGCCATTATTTTTTAATGTCAGAAGGGTTAGTATTTCACTTCATTCAATATTAGAAGATACGGTATCTCACTTTTTTTTTTTTTTTTTTTTTGCGGCACGCGGGCCTCTCACTGTTGTGGCCTCTCCCGTTGCGGAGCACAGGCTCCGGACGCGCAGGCTCAGCGGCCATGGCTCACGGGCCCAGCTGCTCCGCGGCTTGTGGGATCCTCCCGGACCGGGTCACAAACCCGCGTCCCCTGCATCGGCAGACGGACCCTCAACCACTGCGCCACCAGGGAAGCCCGGTATCTCACTTTTTAAAAAATGAAAGACACTTGAGTGTGTGGAACAATTGGGCATCAAACCATCCATCTCTTACTCTGAAGGAGCTCTCGTAATACCCGCTTATCCCAGGAGGACGTCAGAGAGTCATGCAGGGGTGCCGGGAGCTGATGTTCTCAGGACAGAAAGCCTAGAACTTTGAGTACTTATTCATAAATGCCAGTAAACCGACCAATTAAGTGTGTTACTTTTGAATAACAGGACACAAACAAAAGTCAGCAACTCGGCAACTATTGTATAATGATGATGGGAGGAATAAAAGTTGACAGTGCAGCCGTTTCATTTCCAAGTATAGGGATCTCAGAGGGGTTTCTTAGGCACTCTGCACTTTTGCAAGTTGTTATTTTGAAAACATCAGACTACTTTCCCAAATAACTGTGAACATTTTAAAGCAGTATTCCTGTGGTGAACTCCTGATGGCTTGACCATTTTTTGGGGTCTATTTTTGAGCCATCTTTAATAAATAAATACACTCTATATTATAGTTTTCCTATCTTGGTGGCTTTTTCTGCTCCATTTTCTGCTCCCTGCCTCTTCATCCCCACCAAAAACTGAAAGTAAATATGCATCCCTTCAAATGATCACTTCTCAAACCCCATCTCTCATATTTAAAGGTGGTAACAGCCACAGTGCAGCAGTAAGTACAGGAAATTACCTTAAAGGGAGCCACTTCAGTTAGATTTACCAAGCATTAGAAGTTTAGGTCTAGAGACTTAAGCACAGTGGCCACCAAAATCTTAATTTAATTTTATTTGTTCACCTACTTACTTTTTCTTTAAATGGTTTCCAAAGGTAGAAAATGAGAATTGACTCCACTAAATGTACCATATTAAGAGGATAGCATTATTGCAGAGTGATCATTCCTGGAAGGTAGCTACATGTGGCCATGATCATTTTCCATAGTTACTTCACAGAGAACTGACCCAGTGCTGCTAGCAGTCATAGATAACTAACCAATCACCATGGTCAGAAATTACTAATAGTATTTATTTAAATATGCTGTCAGATTCTCTGAATGTCAAAAAATTGAAGCCAAAGTAGAAGATGCCTACAAAAGGTCTAGTATAAATAAAAGGGACAGAGAGAGAAAAAACAAACAAACAATCATTTCTCTTTTGTGCCACCATCTACCTAAAAAAAATTCATGCTGCCCTAAGATAAGCTTGTACCTATTTTTATGAAGGAAAATGATGTGATAAACATCAGGAAAATGGTAATAGGGAACTAATGTTTGGCATGTATCGTATGACAGCACATCCTAAATGGGAACTTTTTGAAGACAGAAAAAGAAATAAAGAACTAAAAATTTTTCTCTTTTTTTAGATTTTTAAAAAATTATGTATTAAAATATCCTGAAATTATACACATTTTAAAGAGGTAATTCCATGCTGAAGTTCTAGCAACATAAACTTAGTCTTGTGGTTTATTATGTCACAAAAAGCCATTGGTAGAATTATCGAATTACTCAGAGTTGTGGGTACCTTTGCCTTACACTTTTTGTTGAGACATCATTTTCGTGTCCAGCAGAAAGTTCTTTGAGTCAGACAGTGTTTTTGCTTTTACAACATCATTACTTACACTGTACACAAATATAAAGCTAAGAAAACAGGTCTTGGGTCGTAGAAAACAGCAGCTGAAGGTCAATTCTTCATAAAGTCTGTTTTCTGCTAAAATTATTGAATGAGCTCATAGAGTGTAGTGTTCTGAATACCACCTAAAATTATATGTTCTTATTACTATTGCTAATAAGCCCTGACCTTGTGTTCATGCTTTGAGAAAATGTTAAGGAAGTTGATCTCTCATTATAGTTATTACCCACCAGCAGTGTGTGTATGGAGCGGGGACAAGACTGGGTATGGGGTTGAGGGCATCCAAGGCTGAGCTTGGTTTTAAGAGATACATCAACCAGAATTTCAGATACTTCTAATCCCTTCGTTTCAGGCAAAGGTTTGTATTCTGCTTTCTACCCTAGTCAACACCCAGTGTTTGCATTTTATTCTAGGGAATTCTTTCAGAAGAGATACTGAAAACCAGAGGATTTCAGAGGAGGGCAGACAGCTGTCAAAGAGACCAGATAGTCTAATCTTTTTGAATAGAGAAAGATTAGACATTTTATAAGGAGTAATAATTTGCTTAACCTGAAAAAATGCTTGAGATAATGAATTGAAAATAAATATTCTGGGACACTGGCTTTTCATTTAGTGGCAACATTGGTATGCTGAAGGCAGTCTTGGAAAAGTTTTATGTCTTTATGGAGAATTTTGTTTTGCGTTTTGCTTATTTATTTGTTTGTTGTATGACTATGTTCTTCTTTGCTTTTTTTCCTTCCTTTTCCTGTTTTTGCCTTTGCCCCTAAAGTGAATATTCTAAAAAGCAAATTCAAATTTTGCTGAAAGGCATTATTCACCACTGAAAACTAAATCTGCTATTTAGATTCCTGTACCCTTGACTGAAGTTTCATTTTTCTTTATGAATATGGGTTTTTACCAAAGTTGGTCACATAAAAAAAGTAATCTTCAGTTGATAAAATAGAATATGGCTAAGCAGAGAAAGGAGGCAAAACTAGTCTTTTTTTTTTTTTTTTTTTTTTTTTGCAGTATGTAGGCCTCTCTCTGTTGTGGCCTCTCCCGGTGCGGAGCACAGGCTCCGGACGCACAGGCTCAGCGGCCATGGCTCACGGGCCCAGCCGCTCCGCGGCATGCGGGATCTTCCTGGACCGGGGCACGAACCCGTGTCCCCTGCATCGGCAGGCAGACTCCCAACCACTGTGCCACCAGGGAAGCCCAAAACTAGTCAGCTTTATACCATTAATGACCAAGTGATTCAGTATTATTCAGTATCATACAGTAATTACATATGAGATCAGAAATGTGCCTGCCTTCTGAAGGTCAGAATTTGGAGCAATGGGAGGAAGCATTGCTCCTCTTGTAATTTAGGTGGGCTGGAGAAACCAATGATGAGTGTCTTGTGCTACAGGTAATGCATTACAAAGTGTATCTTCAGTGACTTCAGGCTCTCCCTTGGCATGACAGGTGCTAGCCAAATGGCATTTCATTTGTTCCATGCCATTGTATTGACAAGTCTTCACCCTAAATTTCTATAGCAATTGCTTTTGCTTTTCACTGCAGGTGCAGTTCTGATCCCCCCAAAAGTATCAGGTAGTGGCAACACAGTATCATAGAGCAGCAAAAATTTTGCTAAATAAAAGTGGTTTACATGTCAAGGAAATATTAAATCAATAGCAAAAGTGTAGCTATAGAGAACAAGTAGGTGTCCATGGATAAAAATTATTTTTAAACAAAATAACCAAAGTAGCTTTTAAAGTATATAAAATATAATTTTTTTTACTGCCTCCATAGTTTTGTCTTTTCCAGAATGTCATATAGTTGGAGTAATAAAGTATTTAGTGTTTCAGATTGGCTTCTTTCACTCAGTAATATGCATGTATAGTTTCTTCATGTCTTTCCATGGCTTGATAACTCGTTTCTTTTTAGTACTGAATAATATTCCATAGCCTGGATGTAGTATGGTTTATTTATTCATTTACCTACTAAAGGATATCTTAGTTGCTTCCAAGTTTTGGCATTTATGAATAAAGCTGCTATAAACCTGTGTGCACAGTACTGATTTTAAGATAAACCATATGTCCTACATTACTGTGGTCATGTTTCTCTTCAAAAGAACTCTTAGCCCTCAAACATCCTAGGTTTGAGTTGATCAACAATATGATTTAGGGAGACTATACTAATGATTATCTTATTCATTTTTATATGAATTAATTTTTATATGAATGTGTGTAGCAAACATGAACCCCTACTGTGTGCCAGGCTTTATGCTACGGAGGATACAGGCACAAAAGCCTCTCTATAGCCAAGAGAGTCTAGAAAAGAAGATACATTTAAGTGACTATGCAAATAAACATGCATGAGAAATAGCATTGGTTCTCCATGGCTGGAACATCAAAATAAATAAGTTTTGACTTAGGGCATGGTCCTTTTTTTCCAGAATAGTCAAATAAAATGTAAACAAGGGAAAAATAATATATTTTGTTTAATGTTAAACATTTCTAAGTTCTTCTCCTTCTCTGTTAGTTATCCTATCTGGTCTTGCAGCTTTTGCTCCCTTTGGTTTTTTCCTTCACGTGTTATGTTTTGTCTTTCTCAAGATGCATTACTTTTGAAGCTCTTGAATCCCTTAATGCAGTTTCCTCGTTCGTACGGTGGATGGGCTTTACTGGCAAAACTGGCCACTACCCTTCTATTGAACCTGTAAGAGAATTCATTTTTTTAATTGGCCATCTTAGATCACCATTTAAGAAATAAAATGTCCACAAGCAAAAAGGCATAACAAAAAAGTAGCTGGTGATACATGATCCCAAACCAAATAAAGTGACTTCCAAACTTAGGGGTCATCTGCGTAGAACTTTGATGATAGTGTTGTTGGTCTGGCATCCCTGAATAATTAAACTAACGGGAAGACTTCCCGCAAGCCAAAATTTTTAGACTTTGGAGGAAACATTTTGAGAACACAGTTTGTAGGAGTTGGTTTTGGTTTATTTATGAGTAAAGCACTTTACTTGGTATTATTTTCCTTGCCTATGTTTTATCTCTTAAAACTGAGGTAAGTTAAGTTTCACCTACAGTTTTCAGAGTTGAATTGACTTGCCTCTTCAGACCAGTGATTCTTGTAAGTAACATCCTTTAAATTGTATCGGATCGTGTCGTGTGTGTGTGTGTGTGTGTGTGTGTGTGTGTGTGTGTGTTTGAAGAGACATCAGTAAGAAGCAGTATTCTTGAAAGGCTTTTGTGTTTTCTTCAGTGCCAGCACTTCAAATATTGCCCGAATAGAAGAAATGGAGAGACTTTTGAAGCAGGCTCATGCAGAGAAGACAAGGCTTCTTGAATCCAGGGTAGGCCTAATATCTTTCATGTAGTAGTTCAAGATGCCCTGCACTTGACACTGGGAAACTGTTTTCAGGCCTCAGTAAGCAGCGTGATCTTGGAGTAGCCACTCCACCTTTCTTGGCCTCATTTTCTTTTTTTTTTTTTTGGCCGTGCCACATGGCTTGTGGGATCTTAGTTCCCTGGCCAGGGATTGAACCCCAGGTCCCTGGCAGTGAAAGCACAGAGTCCTAACCACTGGACTGCCAGGGAATTCCCACTGGCCCCATTTTCTTTTCTGAAAAGTGAGGGTGTTAGAGAGATATTGTCTACGGCTCTTTACTGCACTACCATTTTTCATAATGTAAAATGTATATTGTGTGGACATAAACTGAAATGAATGCTTTGTATTACATTTTCCCTTCAATGGCGCCTTTGTTTGCCTGCCGGGGAACAGGAGGAATGGCAGGTCTTTACGCATTCTCTCTGCCTTGCCAGTTCGTGGTAAAGACACTATTGTAATATTAAAACTCCCATGTTATTGTGACTGTATTTCAAGCCAGAATCTGAACTTCCTTAGGAATTCCCCAAATGCCTTTGCATCCTGCCTGAAAGGGCACCTCCTTTCCTCTTCTAACTTCCCTGGGCACTTCCTCTGTGACCGTCGGCCAGGAAGCCACAGAGCAACAACAGGAATTGGAAGGACCTACGGCCATCAAAGAAAGGCCGAAAGTCGTGACTGGTGTTGGGTCACAGTTAGTGAGCCTTTTTTGTATTAAAAATGGAGAGTTTTTAATATATGGGGTCATTAGTATGAAATGACTGAATAGAGTCACAAGCTGTGTTTCACTTAATATTTCATTTTTAATTAAATGTAGTGGTTGCATTTCTGCACAGGATGCTTTTGAAAGTTCTGTGAATGGTGATTACGGGTGTTTTAGTCTTAGATATATACTGGGCTATAAAATCAGGAATTGTATAGTGAGAATTATTTGTTTTCGTATTGGAATCATTCAAGTATAACCAGTATGTCTGAAAATATTTTCTGCATAATGATATTTAGGAACGGGAAATGGAAGCCAAGAAACGAGCTCTGGAAGAAGAAAAACGACGCCGAGAACTCCTGGAAAAACGATTGCAGGAAGAAACCAGCCAGAGGCAGAAGTTAATTGAAAAGGAAGTAAAAATAAGGGAGAAACAAAGAGCACAGGTTGGTTGGTCAATCTGGATGGATTGGAGTAGGTTGCCCCCTGGTGGTCGTTTTCCAGAAGACGGTCATGCTGTGTCTGAGGATGCCTTTGGTTGTGCTGCCTATTAGCCCTTGACCTGTAATGGCTGAGAGAAAGATGTGCATTAATGGGCCAAAAAAATGTGTGTTTATTTCAGAACCCACTGGGAACTACTAACAAAATGATATTTTTCTTTAGTTATATGCGGCACATCTTGATTGGAGAGGCACTTTTTCTTCTACCCATTTTTTTTGGAGTATATTTAAAAGGAGAATGTCTTCTTGAGCAGCTTTGAAAATGCAGCTGGATTCATTACTGAAAACAAATACAACACCCAAACTAAGTTGAGAAAGAGAACGGATTCTATTAAGACATCTTTTGGAAGCAGACACTCCAGAACAGGATACTTTTACCAGCCCGGTTTTTTGGTGGTGGTGTTCACGTTTGGGTTTTTTTTTCCTAACCACTGTGTTGTCACACGTTTCCCCTTTGCTGCATCAGTCCACACACATGTGCACAGGATTCCTGAACTCAAGCAAAACTCAGGAAAACCATCCTCTTTGTTTGACTTCCTGTCTCAGTCAGTAGAGTCTGAGTCTCTGTTCTTGTCACTAGAACTGCTTACATAATGTATGTTTCCTGAGAAACTAAAATAAAATTTTAAGTGCCATGTAATATAAAGTTCAAATCAGTTTTACCAAAGCTTACTAGACTTCATGGAAAAAGGTACCAATTCCCTTATTCCTGACAGTTGCTGGCAGTCTGAAGTACAACAGTTGGAGACTCGCCTTAAGGCTTCATGTGCTTTGAGGGCTCAGTAAATCTGTGGCATCTGTCTAACGTCAAAGTACCACAAAATCAAAGGCAAAATAAAGGCAAAATACAAAGTAAAACTTGTTCATTTTATTTCATTATGCCAAACCTCTGTCACATTTTGATTTAGTGTAAAGGTCATCCATGCCTGTTTTATATCTGAAGCCAAGACCAAAAGGCACAATTCTATTTTAATCCCAATTATAACTTTTGCTTCCAAGTGTATGATTAGGTTATTTTCCCCCAGGGCAAAGGGGTGGGGTTATTTAACAGGATAAAATAAAAGACTATTTTAGAAATACTACCCGTGGCAATATGTGCTTCCTAGATTCGATGAACCTCTACTCCAGCCATAGTAAAATAAAAGACATCTATGTACATCTCTTCAGTGTCTCGTCCTGGACAGTTCATTGGGTACAGCTTTGATTCCACTTCTTACCTTATTTTAGCTTCACTTTTCAAAACATACATCTCTGCCTTCAATTTCTATCACAGGGTGTATGCAAGCCGACACGTACATACATCCTTGGGGGCTGGACTTACTAAATAACGTTCAGTCAATTGTGTCATGTCTGAGGTTATTTAAGGAGAACTATTGTCGAGTTGTGGCAGGGAGAACTCCTGGATACGTTACAGAGGAGGAGGCCTCATCTGTAAGGAGCAGCCCAGATAACTTCATGCCTTATTTCCCTGTGTTTTTAAGTGCTAAGTACCTCTGTTAAAGCTAAGGTAAATGACATGTTTCCATTTTCTCATCTGGCCATTTCAAGGAATAGAATCTGTTGGCCTGAGTTTATCCACATTTTCCCCCCCATACCATAGCATCCTTCTTAAAATGCCATTCGCTTTTTAGATTCCAAATGACAATGTTTAGCTTAAGTTCTCATAATCACATGGACATTTTAACACTTAGGCTTTTCAGTTCACTTTCACTTCTAAACATCTGTGACCTAAAACAAAACAAATAATTAGCTATAGATGAGATGGGCTTGTGCTTTTCCAGGCTCGACCTCTGACCCGTTATCTGCCTATCCGGAAGGAAGACTTTGATTTGCGCAGCCACGTGGAGACTGCTGGCCACAATATTGATACCTGTTATCATGTGTCAATCACAGAGAAGACCTGCAGAGGATTCCTCATCAAAATGGGTGGAAAAATTAAAACTTGGAAAAAACGTTGGTTTGTTTTTGATCGGAACAAGCGCACCTTCTCTTATTATGCAGGTGGGTGAGAAAAAACACCTGAGTGATATATTCAAATCAGGAATTCTCTGTTAAAGAACAAAGGCAATAAAATTCAGAATAAATAATTAGAGTGATAAGTAATAGAATTAATGGCAATATTAGCTTGATAGATGTATATTATTTTCTATTCAGACCATATGGTCCACCTGATATGAATTTCCTCTAGAAATAATAAAAATTATGTTATTTAAAAAGTGTGAGTCTATTCTAGTTCTGAAATAAGCTCAAGCCCAAATAAATATTAAATGGAATTTATTTTTTAGACCAAAATATTATCTTTTAAACCATGAAATCAGAAAAAAAATGTTTCTATTTATTTCTCTATGGTCATATGCTCTAAAGTCACACACAATTAGGCAGCTTAACTGACAGTCATTCAACTGTAGTTTATACACTAGAATGACAATTTCAGCACAGAGAGTGAAGCTTATCAGTGAACTAGTGAATAAGTAAGTATTTATTAAGTGACTGGAATATTTTTGGATTCTTTAAATGATAGATTATGAGAACGATACCCTGCTGAATCTTCTATAAATACAGGAGTATTTGTGTAACCGGTTTACTTATTAAGAAGCCCCTTATTTACACGTAGATCACATATGAAATATGTCCATTAGCAGCATAAGAATAGCTCTGCCCTCTTTTCAACTGCTGAGTAAGAGGAGAATCAGACTAGAGGTTATGAAGAGACCCTGCCTTGGGGTGACTGTATCAGCATTTATGAGCATTGTTGGGAATTGTTACAAAGTGTATCAAGGTAATAAAAAATAACAGTCCAGTCATTTAATCTGTAGTGTGAGGTCAGGATATGTTTATGAATAGGGGTGTGAGCAACCAAGAAGCATGTGGAAGAAAGGAAACACTGGCAATGAAGCCCCAGAATCGGGGTGAGGAAAGGGCAGGGGGTGCATGCCTTTCAGTTAGGGGCTTTTTGGGTGGGGTTCCAGTTGCTACAGGGGCGAGTGGCCTGAAGTAAATGGTCTACTAACCCTCACAGGTTGCCTCTCTTGGGCTTTCTGACCTTGGGTTTTATAAGAATCCAGAGACAGTCTCTTTAGTTACTACAATAGAAAAGATGCCTATGTAATAAATGCCAATTTAGTGTCTGCAAAATGCATAAACAAAACTTTGCTATGTGCTAGTCTCCAAAGACAACCTCAGCCAGAATTTTCCAAAAATAAAATTTTAAAATAACTCAGACAAAACAGCTTCACTCTTTTCTGCTCCTTTTCTCTGGAATTTGTATTTCATTCTTATGCTTGTATTTTTCAGATTCTTTCTCATAACTGAAGTGCCCTACAAACAAAAGTTTTCTTCCCCAGTTTTCTGCCTGCTTTGAAACACTGACAAGGTTTACTTTTATCTCCAGATTTTATTTTACCTCTGTTTCCAAAAAAAAAAGTATTATTGTTTTCCCATGAATTCATTATTGCAGGACCTTTTCCACCAAATGTTTGAGAGACACATTGACCTTCTCTTTCACAGAAACTGGTGGAAACCCACCGAACATGGTATTAATTAAAACAGAGTTTCCCTAGGAGCTAAGTCTATATAATGAAAGTAAGTCTCTTGCCATCGCAAAAGTTCTACCTTTTCTAACACTGTTAAGCCTGAAATATCCTTTCAGACTTTCTCCATTCCTTTTCATGTATGTTTCAGTCTATATAGGTATTCTTTCTTCTTCAATACAGTTAGGACCAAATTATGCACTCTGTTCATACCTTTCTTCACATAACAGTATTTCAAGATTTTTCTCTTTGAGCACTTGCAGATTTACCTCAGTCTTTTCAGTGGCTGTGTAGATTGCAGTGTACGGCTGGTCTAGAATTAAATCAGTTCCCTATTAAAGCTCCAGCAGATCTTTTGCAGCTTGTGCTCTAACGAACCCAAATACACGTGCACGTGCATGGGTAGGTCTTATACGATACAGTTTTAGAAGCAGAATTGCTGAGTAAGAATTCTGGCATTTTTCATTGTGTATGTTTTACCAAATTGACTTCCAAAAGAGACTTTCTCATTTGCATTTCCACCAACAGGGTATGATAGAGTCTCTTTCTCTGTATCCTCATCCATAATTTTGAGATTCTTTAATGTGCTTGCATGTGTTATCATCCCTGCAGAGTTTAAATTACAAAATGTCTCAAGAACATATTGGTGTTATTAGTCACCACAGAGTGATGCTGTTTGGTCGGTGGTTTGGTTGTTTGTTTTTGTTTTGTTTTATGCTCTGTTTGGTTTTTATGGCAAATCTGACGAAATCTTTGGAAGCGGTTTGGAAAACGCTGCACTGAAATGACATTAAATTATTGACATGAAACTCTGTTGAGAACAGGATAAAATATCAAGTATACTAGACAAGAAATTTGATAGGAAAGAAGCATAAGTAGAATATTATTTTAAATTAGAAATCAAAAAACACACTTGTTACAAATTTCATTGCAACAGAGCTGCATATTAATATTTTCATTACAACTACTATCTTGGAGAATGTGGGGAAATAATTTATCTTGATGTCAATGGTGTTTACACTTTGTGTGCTAACCTGACAGTCAGTATTCTGGGTTACCTTTTGACTGCTAATTTGTGAAGAGCCTTGAGTAAAGTCACTTAGTCTCTTTTGTTTAGGGTTGCTAATTACAACATTTTTTCTTTTTCTTTTTTCAGGATAGAGTGCGGCTAATGTACTAACCTAGGTTATCTTAATTAATCTTAGATAATTTAAATGCTAGATAAATATTTTAATGATGATAGTTATAATGAAATTATAAGTCTTCCTGTCCATCAGTGGTGATAAAGTATTTGTTTTAACACTCATCTACCATTGCAGACAAGCATGAAGCTAAATTAAAAGGAGTAATATACTTTCAAGCCATTGAAGAAGTATATTATGATCACCTCAAGAATGCTAATAAGGTAAACATTGAATTTCAGATTCCTACGATTTGAATGCATAATTAAGTAGGGGAAAAGGTATTTTTTTGAATTCTAATTAATTTCGATTTGTTATTCTGACATAATGGGTAGATATGATCAGAATGGTGTTGGAAAAGTAAACATGGAAGTAAAGTAATTAGTGCAGCTGATCTTTTTGTGAAAAAATAATTCATGACAAAATGAGAAAATATTCTGGATATATTGGTTTGGGAGACCCTGCCAAGTAACTCTTTGCTAGGCTTCTAAGAAGGAGCTACTACCTACTTATGAGGAAGATCATAAGGAAACATCTTAGTAGGGCTAAGAATAACATTTATTGAGCTAGTTTTAGAGCACCCACTATCAGCTAGATACCCTGCTGGAGCTTTACAAGTAGCTGCTAAAATGATTGGTGAGCTCACTGTGAGAGTTCTTGTGCAGAAAGGCCAGAAATATGGTCAATCTTGAGAAAGGTGTTGAGGGCGAGGGAATAGGTTACATTAGAATAGAAATAATAGCCACATAGAAGCCTTCACATATCTCTGTGTTATATTTAATGTTATAATTTCAAGATTTTGTTTTATGTTCTTTTCCTTTTTTTTTAGAGTCCTAATCCATTACTCACCTTTAGCGTCAAGACGCATGACAGAATCTACTATATGGTGGCCCCATCGCCAGAAGCCATGCGGATCTGGATGGATGTTATAGTTACTGGGGCGGAAGGTTACGCTCACTTCTTGTTGTAGTGAACTAATGCAATAGTCCACTTCAGGGCAGACTGCAATAATTTCTTACAAGAATAAAGCCATATTCAACACCAGGTGGAAAGACCCAACAGACCCATCCCTTTAACTATGGATACTCAGAACTGTTTTCATATAAACAGGAAGTCATTTGTAAAAGGGAAAGAAGGGATTTTAATTCAGAGCTTGAGCAGAAATAACTCAAAGCTTGATCATAAATAGCAAAGAATTGAAGCACCTAGGAGAAAGAAAACACTATTTTCGTAAATAGCATCACTTATAGGAACATTTCTTATAAATTCTTTTTTATCAATTGTTGATTTTGGTGAAATAAACTAAACCGTTTACAAATGTCTATATGTACTTGGAAAATATGAAATTATTTTAGCACCCAAATCATTGGCATTGACTTTACTGGTAATCAACTGGCTTTGTTGAAAAAGGAGTATTTTGCTGAATGTTATTTTATAAATATAAGCAAATAAGGGCTTGGAAGGGAATATATTGTACGAGGAGTTTGGCCCTACTTTTAAAGTACTACACCAAAACCAAAGACTTGATATCACCTCTGTTTAACAGTAGTAGTTTCAAGTGATGAACTGCAGTTAGTGTTATTCTACATTTTAAAATGGTACTTTGATGCCAACAAGTGCCCAGGAAGTTGACCTTGAAGAATCACTACCAACATAAGCTACTGTACATATATAGCAAACTACTCTTTGTAAAAGAAGAACAAAAAGCTGTGTGTTTTCGGAAGAAGCAGTCTTAGACATTCTGTCACACTGGGCAATTTAAAATAAAGAGAATACTTAGGAGCTATTTTGATGAAGATTTCTCCATTCCCAGTACTGAGAATAAAGGCAACCAGTAGCTGATTTTCTTTATATTATCTGATTTCTCTTTGTTGCAGCCTCACATGACATAACTATGAAATACAGCTGTTTTCACCAAAGAACAGACCAATTAAAATCCTTATTTACAGAAGTATTGTGATTCCATTAAAAGGCAAATGAAGTTCAACTTAATGTACTCTGTAATGTACTATTTTATTATATATTTTCTTTACAATTAGCCTTTGTTTTTTAGAGTTAAATTAATTTTTGTTGAATGAAATGACTTCAGGAAAGTCCTTTTATAATGATTTTCAAATGCCATTTATCCTGGTTTGTCATGTTGTGTGCGTTTGTAAGTATGAATGTACTCTTTCTACACATTGGCAAAAGAATAGAAGCAGAAAATAATGACATTACTTATTAGTACAAGCGAAATGATTAGATTAGAAGTGTCTGTAAAATCTTTGTCAGGCCTGCCTGGGTACAATTTTTTTTTTTTTATTTGCAGTGGTTTATATACATGTTGCCAATAATAAGATTTTGCAACTGGATGACACATGATTTTACTTGAACAGTGAAGGACAAAATCACAATTGCAGAAGACATTTTTATAATCTGTTTTTTCAGAGATCACCCCTAAACCCTGTAATGAGAGTGAAATACAATTGCTAAACTTTTGTTGGTTAATGTAAAGATATAACTTTTCTGAACTGTACTTTACCTTCTTCATAGGACTGTAAAGATACTCTAATCAACTTTATGCCTTGCATGATATAGTAAACCTTTCCAATATGTGTGTTAAAATATGTTGAGTTTGGATTAAAATATTGACCAGATTTCACACTTGAAAATAAACTCATCTCTCATTAGGAAGTCACCCATTGGTTACATGACAGGGGATGGATTAATCAGCAAAAGTCCATTGTAGAATCGACATAAAGGTTGTTGTGTGCTAACATTATGACTTGTAGTTTATAAACTGAAGTAATCAGAAATATCTCTGGACACATTCCTGTTGCTAACAAAATGAGATAACCCCTGAGAAACCTGACATCTTTTTGTCTAATTGCACAGATGCAATTACTACTGGGGATTGAAGGACTGTGTTTACCTATCCTTCTCTCTGATGGGGAAAAAAATCATGCAGGTGTGAAGTTAAAACTCTAAGGCTTTACTTGGTGAGGACATCATTTGTTTCCCTGAAAAAGGCAGCAGATTTCAGAGGAAGAAACCGCCCTCTACAGTATGTCCTTTCACACCTGTCAATGAAGGCAACATTGATAGTAGGTTAACGGAAACAAATTTGTCTACTTCAGGCCCATTGCTGTCAGTAAAAGCATCTTCACTTGACTCTAGCTACAATTTTTCCTGATTTGTTATACTGATGAAGGTGGATGGAGAAAATGGTCCATGGGTTTCCCTGCTTTTTTTGTGCAGTGCCTTTCCCACTATGAGAACAAGTAAGATTTTTTTTTTCTGCACATAAGATGAAAGAAGACCTGCAAAAATAAAGGGACAGAACAGGGACAGGAATGATTGGGAATATTTGCAAATATCCAGAACCCTAGGGAGAAGTGTTTATTGTTAAGATACAAAGGATGCTGAAGTGATGTGCATTGGGCATCACCTTAGTGATTTTAGTCCCTTTAGGGTCTACAACAGGCTTAATGGAGAACTAGCAAAATAGCTCAGCAGCTTTTGGAGAAAGTTGCTAAATCAAGCAGCTGTCAAGGAGGTGTTTCTGGCAATACACCTCTCAAGAAAGAGATCTATTAAGTTTTTATTTATCCAGCTTTTCTGGTGTGTTCTAATAGGACACGTTCTCAAGACTCCAAAGATAGGCTGGATTCACTGTATCCAGTATTAAACCAGCTACAGTAACTTTTAAATAGAAAACAAACAACAACAAAAAAAACTAGTCCTTACTTGTTGATGCTTGAGGCCTCCAAGAATTGCTTTGAAGGGTGTCAGAGCAGGAATCCAGAAAGCCTTGTACCACAGTTTATTCAACCATTTTTTTAAATTGGCCATTCCATTTTTTTCTTCTGTTTGCCTCTAAAAATGGTGCTCTAGTAGATAATATGCATCCTTATAAACTAGTATTTTCTATAGGATAGTCACAAATTGGGGCCATTGGGTCAAAGGGCATTGAAAATGATGCATATTTTAAATTGCCATAGGTGGTCAGGTTACTTGACAAAAAGCGTTTGTCAGTATACCCTCCCACCAACCATACATGAGTGCCCATTGCCCAGCTTCCTTGCCGGAAAAAAGTTAAAAAGAACAATAGTTGTTCTTTTTAACTTTTGCCAATCTGATGGATAGGAAAAATGGCATGGGTTATTTTTTTAATTCCAATTTTTCAGTTAGTGAGGTTGATCATCATGTTTACATATATGAACTGCCTATCACAGCTGTTGGCCAATTTTATTGGAATTATATATTTTTTCTTATCATTTCTAGGAGCAGGGTGAACAGAACTATTCCGGTTTTATTCTTCTGTTGAGACCATTTATCTACTGGAATTTATTTTTGCGTATAGTATGAGACAGGGGTCAGAGTATTTCAACAGTCAGGCATACAAATAGCTAAAACAAACTGAAAAAGGGCGAAGGAGCGGCGAATGATCGATTCCACTCCAGGCGTTTATACAAGCAGGATTAAGGTCATATCTTCAAACCATTTCCGGTACAGGTCAAAACTGTCAGGGGGTGAGAACTACTTGTAACGCAGCAAGCCTAGCACTTTATGTTTCAGCTCCCTACTGTCATCGGGATGATGAGATGGTTTCCTATCTGGGAACGATGGGTGGGGTTCCTTTCCTCGCTTCCAGTCCTGGGGTATCTACCCACCGAGAAAGCAGCCTACAGATGGCGCTCAAAACATCCCAAACACAGACCGCACCTCCCCGACAGAACAGCCCAACAGCGAAAGGCTGGGAAGAGCGACGACGCTCCGCGCATGTGCGCTTTCCGGGGGGTCGAAACTCCGACAGGCGCTGTTTACCAAGTTGCGTCTTCCAGAGGGCGGCGCATGCGCAAGCTCAGTTTCTGGGCGCTGTGCGTGTCTCTGTAGGTCGGCGCGGGGCGCAGGGGCCGTCGGGAAGATGGCGAGGGTGGGTCTGCCCTCTTGGGTACCTTGTCGCAGGTGGGGCTGGATGGCCGTCTCCTTCGGCTTCCACCGTGGGCTCAGCACGTTACTTGCACCGAAGGCCGAGCGGGCGCCACGGTGGCTCCCAGGTCAGTGTCCGAAAAGCTGGAGTAGGACGCGTACTTTCGAACATCCCGGATTCCGGCAGTTCCTGTGCCATGCGTTTTTGGCGCCCCGTTCAGAAATGCCCTTCCCCGGTTCTCAGTACCCCAGTTATAGGCGCTTTCGACAATTCTGGTGAAGGCTGTGAGGAGAGCTCTGCCGGACCCTGGGGTATTCTGGACAGCCCGGGCCGTTGGTGGCGTTACGCTCTGCAGTCTAAGGATCCTCTCTGCCCGCCTCCCCTTTGTTAAGCGCCAACATTAGGAAACATTCAGATGTGCATTTAATGCGTTTGATTATTAGTTGCTTTTGCTCTTCTCTGCTAGTTCTAAAGGGTTTACAGATCGTGACTGTTAAGATGCTTAGACCTGCCCTCCCTTGACTTGAGCGATTTTAAAGTATGAACATTTTCTTTGGAAAAGTATAAACGCCGTCATCAAGCCTAATTTCTAGGGTTTTTTTTTTTTTTTTTTTTTTCCGTGATCGCAGCCCAGTAAAAACCGTAGTCATTACTCTACAAAGGAAACTAGAATTTGGACGAAAAATTAGAGCCCCTGAATATTTCCGTTCCTTGTGCTTGATTCTTCTCTGTCCCACCCTACCTCCACTCCCAACCCCCATATATGTAGTCTGTCTTTCTGAATTATGCCTTTTTATTTTTTTGTTTTGTTGTGTTCACACCCTTGCCAGACAGCTGTCAGATGCATAGTGCTTGGAATGGGAATTGTCATGGCAAATACCCTTTGAGTTAAAAATTTTAAGCATATTATCAGTTTAACTTACATTTAATTGTACACAACCAAAAGGCTGTTATATATGTTTTTCTAGCAAAGTATAGTATGTCATTACATTAACTAGAATATGATACTCTTTTACTATTTAGTAAACATTCATTGAACACTTATGCCCCAGGCTTTGAGCTAATCCTTACAGTACGAAGATCATTCACGGATATAATGTTAAGAACCTGGCCACTTATAACTCACCAAGATTAAACAAGTTGTAATTATCTCATGGAGAATTTCCTGTTGGAAAGTAATATCGAAGAGAGGATATGAAGGAATTTTGGAGTGCTAAGGAAATGGGAAATGAACATTTTTGCTGCTGCAATCTGTCAACCAACATAACTGGCTCCTACTAGCCTTGTTTTTCACTAAAAGTTTTAAATTTGGCATATTTCACTATACATTGAAACTCTGAAACAGGATTACATATAAAAGGGATAGCTTTAAGGGCTTCAATTCAGTTTTTTAAAAAATCAACTTCTCAAATCCAAAATGAGGAAAACTTTATTAGCTTACATGGAAGAGACTGAGAAGTTTTAATTAGCCACAATAAAGTAGAGAAAGGTTTCATGTAATAAAAAAGAGATTCCATTGGTCCAGAAAAAGACTGTTAAGGGAGTACACAAGCCTAGTTTCTTTGGAGGAAGAAAGTGGGATCATAAATGACTTTTTTTTTTTAAATGTCTTTACATTTTTTAAGAGCAAGTATTGATTTTACAGTAGGGAAGGAACTTTAAAAATAATGAAATGGAACAATCTTGTAAAGTTTACCCATTGTGCCTTTGTACTTGAACTAAGATTTGTGTGTACCATTCACAGAAAACCAGGCCAACAAATAAAACATAGTGATTGGGAGTCCTATGAGAAATCTTTTTCCAAAAATGGTATTATCATGCATTTATTCAAGGTTACTTGTAAAGTAACTGCTCATTGAACCCGCCTCAGCAGATATGGAATCACGATTGGCTGTTACCATGGCCCGTGATTTTATGGGTGGAGAGGGAATCAGTAATAAAAGGGGCACAGCACCTCTACCTTTGAAACAACTTCCCAAGGGCAGACCAAACTTGTTTCTCCCCCTCCCCACTAAAAAGTAGAGGATGTGAAATCCCTTAAACATTAAAAACAAATTTAAAGAAGACAAATCTCACAAGAAAGGGTTAAAACTAGTGTAGGTAAATCTGAATGTTGATTGATACTATTTGGGACAGATGATATAGCAGCAACAGAAAAACATTTTTGACAAGTCTCTCTGTCTTTTGTTGCCTTCAGATTTCCTTCTCATTGTGTATTTTGGAAGAATCCTGATTGGACCTTGCTCAGAGAAGACACTGATTGTGACATGATTTTAAAAGATAACATGCACAGACTTGTGACTTTAATACTTCACATCTGTATTTTTTTCTATTAAATGGAAATAGTATTTGACATCAATTTGATGAGTTAAGAAAGTTAAGATTAAAAATATGTATGGTTTTCAAAAAACTGTGTTTGCAAACTATGTTTTGTGTATTTTGTTTAGCTTGCAGACAGAAGACATCAATCTCTTTTCTTAGTCGACCAGACCTTCCAAACCTGGCTTATAAGAGGCTAAAAGGCAAAAGTCCAGGAATTATCTTCATCCCTGGCTATATGTCTAATATGAATGGTACAAAAGCATTGGCGATTGAGGAGTTTTGCAAATCTCTAGGTCACGCCTATATAAGGTAGGAACAACACATTTTAGAGAAAATATTACTACTATTTACTATGGCAGTAGAGAATTACTTCTGCTCTAACAAACTGGAACAAATGTCAGCATTTTTATAGATTAATTTATTTTAATGGTCTGTAAACTTTCATCTTGTGATTTAGGGTTCTTGTAAAGTGCAGCCTTTAAAAGGCCTTTTTTATAGGTCTTTGTGGGGAATTCCTTGTCAGTCCAGTGGTTAGGACTCCGAGCTCTTACTGCTGAGGGCCCAGGTTCAATCCGTGGTCTGGGAACTAAGATCCCACAAGCCACGCTGCCAAAACAAAACAAAAAACAAAAATAAATAAATAAAGGTCTTTGTGCCACACC